GACAACTCAATGACAAAACAACAACCCAAGGGATCTGAACAGATACTGGTCAAAGAAGACGTACAATGGCCAATGAGCACATGAAAAATTGCTCAATACCAGCGGCCATTAGCAAAACGGAAATCCAAACTCTGATGAAATACGCTGACGTAACAGAGACAGAGAAGGGGCGGCAGATGCAGAGAGGTTGGAACCGTTTGCTGGTGAGCACACAGAACGGTACCACTGCTCTGGAAAACAGTCTGGCAGTTAGTCAAAAGGCCAAAGAATTGCCACATGACCCAGCAATTCCATTTCATACAAGAGAAATAAAAACTTTATCCATATAAAAACTTGTTCACAAATGTTTATAGTAGCATCATTCATAGCAGCCAAAAAGTAGAAACAACCCAAATGTCCAAATAGACAAAATGTGGTGTATCCACACAGTGAACCATTATTCAGGAATAAAAGGAATGAAGTTCTAATTTATGCCACAACAAGGATGAACCTTGAAATCAAGCTAAATGGCCAGTCACCACAAACTCCAGCAAGGCAGGGGGCCTGTTTCCTTGAGATTAACTGTCCAAGTTTCAGCCTGAGGAACTGTCTTCGGTCTAATTTCTTTGTGTAGAGATGAGATGGGAGGTACAAGGAGACTTGGAGGGTTGGGGAGGTTTAGTGGGCCCAGGTCCTCTTTGGGTATTTTTCACTTCAACCGCCCTCATGATTTCCTCTGCCAAGTCATCCTTGCTTTTTATACTTGTCAACTCTAAGCCTGAGCCTCTCCATGTCAGTGCGCGGGAGAATGGCTTCCACCTCCAATTCTGACTTCTAAGCCTATTTTGGGATGTGGATTTCTCTACTTTCACCTGTCTTTCATTATAATCACACTAGTTTTCATCTTCCAGTTGGAAAAAATCTATTATCTCCACCACTTTCTATAGCACTTTGAGATGTATTATTTCTACAGGAAAATGTCAATAGGATTTTCGGGGTGGAGGAGTAAATGCAGTGTTCAGCTCATCGTCTCTAACTGAAATCTTCTTATCTAAATCTCAAACAGGTAGTTTCCACACTTTTGTAGAACCTGAGCTCTTCGAGACCCCAAGATCCCCTCCTTCTAAAAGACACCAAATTTGGCTGCAGGATGTAAATACTGTGACCATAAATCAAACAAACAAACAAACAAACAAAAAAACAGCAGGAAGCATTCTCTACCAAATGAGACGGAACTGAGAAATTGAAAAATAAGAAATAAAACAAATAATATAGTACAGTTTGAAAAGCATATTATATTTTCATAATAATTTAAGTAGTCAAAAGAATTGTGCCCAAAGAATAAAAGAAAAAGCCCTTAACTAGAATTTACAACCACTATCTTTTCATATTTTCCTAATAATTTATTTTTATTTACAAAAGTAATATAAAACTAAAATTTGTAGTATAAAACAGTATACCCCAGGTATAAGTTGTAATAAATGTATTCCATTTTAATAAATTATATAATATATAATAAACACCTTATTTACTTCTCATTAAAATGGAGTTGACCAGAATGTTTAAATCAGCAAGATAATTCAGTAATTTGATAAAGTAATTTAGGAAAAACCCTCACTTTCCTGTAAACATGCACCATTGCATATGTGACTAGAAGGTGGCGGGGAGGACTTGAGATGGAAAATACACGTTTGTTCCTTAAGGATCTTTACTTTCTCCCGCCTAGGGTATGTCACCAGGACTAAGGCCATTTCCATGCTGGTGAACTACTTATCTATGAATGATATCCCCATTTATATAACTAATGAGCTTCTTGAACATATGTCTAAAACAAAACTCAATCCCTCCCCAAACCTACTAACAACAATAAATGTAAATGGCATCAACACTCACCCAGCTATTCGTGCAAAAAGAAAAAAAAAAAAAAAAAGAACCGTCCTTTATTGGTGACTTTCCTTCACTAAATCTGTTAATAAACCCTGTTGGTTCTCCCTCCAACATTAATTCTACCAGCCACTGCCCTCTCCCTACAATAATAGCCTTCTAGATTTCCCTGCTTCTGTTATCTCCTTAGGATCTATTTCAGTGGCCAGTGCAAATTAGATCAGGTCACTTCTCTTGTTAAAACGGTCCCTAAAAATAACCACCAAACTCCTTACTGTGACCGACAGGGCCTTTCCCCATCTGACCACTGCCTACCTCCCCACCCGCAGCTCCCGCCACTCTGCCTTTCTTACTGTCTCCAAGCCCCTGTGCTTCCCCAGGTACATCGACCTGGTTCCTCATTTAGTTCTGCACTTGCCACTCCCTTTGCATGGAACCCCTGGCTCCCTCACATGAGGCTATTTACAGGCCCAACTGTTTTGTATCAAATGTTTCCTCCTTAGAGAGGCTTGCTCTAAGGCAGCCCCCATGCCGCCAGTGCTGCACCAACCACCCTTTTATTTTTTCCACACCACCCACCCCAGTCTACAGCAATCTTGTTTAGTGCCCACCCCTGTATCAACTTTTTAAGGGCATACTTTTCTCTCTTATTTATTATTCTCTCCAATGCCTAGCACACAGCAACACTGAACAGATCTTCAAAATATGCGTTGAATGAACAAACTTCATAGACGTCATTAAGCAGTATGGATATTAACTATACAGGTTTTGATTATTATTAGCTTATAGTTTAACTTACATTAGTATATCATAGATAAACAAAATTTTACAAGAATTCCAACAGAAAAAAGATATTAAGGACCAGTGGAAGCCCCAAAGTGAAAGCAGACCTATTTGGAAGAGATGCATTTAGAAGACACCACCAGATTCTGTCCACAGGTAAAAGGAGAAAGTGAGCGAACATCGCTCAGGATCAAAGCCCCATGCAAGACCAGAAAGGGAATGTTCACAGCTCTCTCTGCCACAAACTCTGAGCAGAAGCGCAGGGGCTCAGACTATAGGGGAAAACTGATGAGAACCTCTCGAGGGATACTGCACCCACCAAACGAGTTCTTCAGAAACCGACCTGCTTTTGCAAAGGCCCTTCACCAAGGCACAGCTGAGCAAAGCATGCCTCAAGCTGTACTGTCAAGTGATAAGAGGGGGACAAAAAGCTCATATATACTACATATACTGATGTATAAATCCCTGAGGAAAACTGATACAAACATTTACATATCACACTAAAATCTGCATATGAGACACTGAAGAAATAAAGATTAGTCTGTGGTTGAGGGCTGGCTTTTTTTAACCTGAACACTTGGGAGAGGGGAAACAAAGCCTTTTCCCTTTAGTACTATAGAAAGATACAATAAATTTGAAGGAAAATAAACATTTATAAGGACAACAATAAAAACTACATATAGTGATTTTTGTGGTTTGATTGGGGAGATGAACTCATTACAGAAAAATTATATTAAAAAACAAAAAGAGAATAATAAAAACCACTAGCAAAAAAAAAAAGCCACTGAATCAGATGCAGAAAGACAAAGTTGAATTAATGGTTATACCAACAAATTTAAAATAGCACTTTTAATGTGAGCTTTGGAGACCTTTTTCTTATGAAGGAGAAAGTAAAGAGAATCTTAGTTTTATACTGTTTGCAGTACACAGGTGCCAACAACCACAACTAATGAATAGTTCTATTTGAAGGCCTTACGCATTGCTAAATGCATCTGTAGAACTTACACTCCTACCCTTTCCTGGGGTAAATATGAAGACTGGTATGAGATGGAAAGTATAATTTCCATTAGAGAGAAAAGAAAATTTTGTCATATATTTCTATACGATACAGCAGTTCCTCAGAAATGATTCTGTGTTCGAAACAGTTAAGAACCAAGAAGCAAGCAGCAAAGGCCACCAAGGAACTAAAGCAGAGCCACACCAATAGAAGATACACACTTTTAAAACACACAGCCCAAGGTGCTTGCTCAGAGTCCATTTGCTTTTCTTTGAGGCTGGATTCTAACACAATCAGTCACGGAGTTTCTCAGTGCCCAGCAAGTCAGAGACAGTGGACTAGAAAATGTGAAAGACACAAAACTCTTATATCGAGAGCAGATGACCTAACAGGAGAAAGGAGACTGAAATACCACTGAAGAAAGGAATTACAAAAATCTTAGAATAAAAAATAAAATTTAAAATCATAACCGGCAAGGTTTTATTTAAAACCATAATAATCTCACAGAATTCAACTGCCTCTAAGACCAGGCATCTTATTTTAACAGTGAAACATTCATATTGTACCTAGTACAGTGACTTGCATAGAATACTGAACTTAAGTTCAATAATGACCAGAAAGTACCCTGGCTAGTGTGGCTCAGTGGACTGAGTGCTGGCCTGAGAGCCAAAGTGCTGCTGGTTCCATTCTCAGGCAGGGCTCATGCCTGGGTTGCAGGCCAGGTCCCCCAGTAGCGGGTACTCAAGAGGCAACAACACACTGATGTTTCTCTCCCTCTCTTCCCCCCTCTCTAAAAAATTAAATAAATAAATAAATAAATAAATAAAATATTAAAAAAAAAAAAAAAGACCAGAAAGTGGCCATTTTCAATCCTGGAGTTTCACACTTGGTAGGTAGGCATTTATAATTTCTCCACAGACCACAGGTGAGTCTAATGCACACAGAGAATAGAGAATCACTGTCCTACCAGTCTAAGGAAAGGTTACATTATACTCAATGTATTAGTTAAGAAAGAAGTAAGAATTTACAACGATCTTTAAATGTGTTTGGTAAAACTTGTTTGTAAAAAGTTGGGGCACGCTGAAGTAAGGGGGAGCATTCACTTTGGTAGACCACTTCGTCTCCCAAAGGAGGAAGGAAGCAAAATGACATATTACCAATAGCCAATTATCACAGGATAATGTCTTCTGAAACCACACAAATAAAATAAATAATGGGGCATGAAATACCGATACTCAACAAAGTCAAAGTTATGTGAATAAAAACATCTCACTAACTCAAACTAACGTTGAGTCTGGACACTAAACCCCTCTGTGCAGGAGCATGTCCAAAACAAAATACTCACACTCATACTCACCTTTCTGAAAAATCAGAGTCTATAAATTCTCTAGCCCGTTTTCTATCACTAAAAAGAAAAAAAAAGCATAAAAAGAACACATATAACCACTACTTTATTTCATGGATAACTTATTATAATCTGTCTAATTCTACAATAAATATAACCAAACACAAAAACTAACTAATCATTAAAGATATAGAAATAAAATAAAAGCTTAAATTTTATCAAAGGACCAAGAAATCACATGATAATCTAGTTTCAAATGAGTTCAATGAATCTTTAAGGAAGAAAACATTGCAGTTTTACAAAGGATAAGGCACAGAAAAGCTTTACTTACTCTGGAACAACTGACTATAAAATCACTGACTAAAACACCACCCCCAGTGTAAAGCTCAGCGGGGCCCCAGAAACATTCAAACCCTGGTCCTCTCCAAAGCGGGCCAACCCCACTGGCACACGCACGGCCTTCATGCCGTGCCCTCTCAGGTCTGTGCAGAAATCCAGTGACTCTCACACCCACACGAGAGTGCTCAGAAAGACTGGACCAAGGCCATGGAAGCACAGGTGATTCTGTTATTCCTCTCATCTGATAATGGAAAAGTATGAACACACAAAAACTCTTCTGCTTCTGTATGCGTGCGTGTGTGTAGGTATATGAACATGTATATGGCTTAAAATATTTTGCCAGGGTTATTTCATTAATTCATTCAATATTCTTGAAGCAAGGAGATTTTTACGCAACTGAGATTTATTGTCTGGTGGCTAGAACTCACAGTTCTAAGTCAAAGATAGAACTACTAGTGCAGTATTTGAATAACAATCTAAATCACTTCTTAAGTGACAATGAAGTTTTGAGTCATTAATTTTTACTATGTCTTTCTCTTTTATGGAAACAAGAGATGTTAAAATAAGTAGTGGAAAAAGGTTGGGTAAGGGTGTGTTACAGGCAAAGACGAAACATGTGAAGGTTTGATACCACTGAGGAACACAGAAGAAATACTGACTTCACTGCCCAGTGTTTCGTAACGACCAAGGGGAAACTCAATGAAAGTTACATATACTTGGTCTCTTTTCTCTAGTTCCTTTTCTAGTTTTTAAGGAAGTAATTCATAGAAGAAATTCTGAATATAGCCAACACTTAACATCTTTTCTTATGTTTGTTAAAACAGTATAAAATACAGTTTTGACATCTTCAAAGCAGCTAAGTAAGTTCTCTTTCAGGGCTGAAAAAAGGTCAGAATATTCAGGCACAAGTTATTATACTCTTTTCTCTCTTTTAAAATGGTTGCTCCATAAATGGTTCATATCTCAGATATAAGGGAAATAAAATACGTAATTTTAAAGGAAACACATTCATCTTTAAAAACTAGACTAATATAAAACAAGAAGAGAAGGCAGGGTGGTGAGGAAAAACGTTAGAGCTTCTTCTAAAAAAGTTTTAAAAATGGTATCTTGTGCTGGCACTCTTACCTCGGGACCCAGCCCGTGGCTTCTGCTATGTGCGTCTGCGTGACCATGGCCGGTGCAGGGGTGTACGGGCTCCCGATCAGAACACTTCCGGAACTGGTTAGTCTCTGGGGTGTGCTTATAATCTGGACATTGGGACAAAGAAAATAATATTCTTAGTTATCAAGGAAAGCGTGTAGGCACAAAATAATGTTGACTGCTAACCTACATACAAGGAGGCAACTCTATTGCCTAAAAAGCACTTAATATTAATGATCTAAAATATGAGCAACAGCTCTGACTCCTTTGTTTGAATCAAAGCACAGCACCTGAGCACTGACATGAGTCCTCAGCGCAGGCTTCAGCACGTGAAGAGCAATCTGGACAGACTACGCTGGCAACCGACAACGTTTTAAAAACCAGAAAAATGAAAAGCTTTCTTTGAAACTACAGAACCTAATTCCAGTCAAGCTTGATGTATTAGAACTGAGGTAGAGTAATCAGATCTTCATAATCCAAAATATATGCAAAGACATGATACATTTTGGATTATTGTACAGATGCAGTTTTATCTTTTTTTCAAGAACATTTATTTCCTCGTGTCATTAAATTTTCTTCAAAGACATATTATGTTCCATTATGTAAACTTACTATTTATTAGATATTATTCAACTATATACTATAGATATTCCAATTATTCAACATTATACACAATGCTGTGATAAACCTTTTTGTACAACGATCTTGGCCTTAATTTCTATTTCCTAAGGAAAGACTCCAGGAAAGGAATGAATGGAACTAAGGACATGAACTTCAAAAAGTTCCTTGGTATGTCTTACCAAATTGCTTTCCAGGTCTCCTAATCTTCATTGGTAAGTAGAACATGCCCCCCAAATGTTTATAATAATTAATACAAAAACAATTTGGTGTTGTAGGAAAATCTTTAAAGGTGTTTTCATTAAAAAAAGAAAAAATAAGGGCATGCATGCTCCAGGGAACAGGTGTACTAATGAAACAAGACTGTCCCCATATGGATAATGGCTGAAATGGTTGAAGAAGTTGCTGGGCAGAGGACTCTATTTTGCATACTTTGGAAAGTTTTCATAATAGTATGGTTTTGTTTGTGTTCCAATTAAGAGAGAAAAGCATCAACATGGACATATAATTTTTTTTTATTTTTCATCTTATTTTTTAAAAGATTTTATTTATTTATTTTTAAAGTGGGGAAGAAGAGAGGGAGAAAGGAGAGAAACATCAAAGTGTGGTTGCCTCTCATGCACCCCCTACTGGGCACCTGGCCCACAACCCAGGCACATGGCCTGACTGGGAATCAAACCAGCAACTCTTTGGTTTGCAGGCTGGCACTCAATCCACTGAGTCACATCAGCCAGAGCCATAGTAAGTTCTTAATAAATGTTTCCTGAATGAGTAAATTGGAGATGATAGACTTGAATTGGAAAGACAAGTTGGAAGCTCATGTGAGATGGAATGAGTTTTTAAACTAGGACAGACAGTGAGTCTTAAGAAACAAACCAAAGGAAAGTCAACTGAACTGATCAAGCACTGAATATAGGAAGCCTATGTAGGTGATGAGTCAGACATGCTTATAAAACTGAACCTTAATTTTGAAATCCCAAATTAAAACGAGTGATAATTCAAGGTAACTACTTCTAATATTCAGTTGATCTGATAAGGAAAATGAACACTTAAAAGTTTACCACTGCCCCCCCCCCCAAAAACAAAACAAAGGCAACCTTAATGTAAATATAATTGTGGTTTCTTTGACAATAGGTTACAGTTAGGCAATGAAAATCATGCCATCAATGGAACCTCATTCTAGAGATTTTCTGCCCCCAGTCAATATGTCTTATGCACTACTGCCATCTACAGGAAGAAAAGGCCAAGGCAGCATCTGTATTCTGAAAGGAAGAAAAATCTAGACAATTATGAAGTGTTGTTACATTAAAGGATTTCATAAAATTCTAGTTTTCAATATCAGAAATGTACAGTTTTAATCATATTAAAATAAAGATAATCATAAGAATATACACTCATGTATATACTCCTAATAGTAAATATTTCCAATATATATACAATATACATGCACATGTATATACTCACATACACATACAGATGCCTTTCAGAAAAGGGTAAGTTTCTTAAACTAAAACAGTTACTGCTAGTTTCTATAAACACAAAAAACAAGTTTTTCTCTGGGGCTTTTGAAATTTCTATCTACCATTAAGATTTGGCTTGCAAAAAGACATGAAATTTAAATTTGCTATAAAAGGAAATGAGGGAGGTTTTATTCAAGAATTCCTAACTAAACAAATTTGTTTTTAATCACGAGAAATTGAAGGCAAAGGGACAATGTTCAAAAGACACAAGCAAGAGGAGAAGAAAGAAATGGCTGTAATTGGGGATCTACATCAATCAGGAGAATCAAAACAGAAACGCTGACTCTGGCCCAAGACTAAGAAAGTAGAAAACACCTGAGAATTCAGGAGTCCCATCGAGGCCCCGGGGCCGGCCTGGCTGACATTTTTTTGCTGATTCTGAGGTCAGCAGTAATCAGGTAAGTGTTCTACCTAATTCTTCATCATCGTCAGAACTGAAGTGTGTAAAGACTTCTACATACATCAAATCGAAAATGGAGAGATAAATCACATGTTTCCAAAAGAGAAATTTGAACTTCATAGCATCAATAAAATACCAACAGAAAACAGTATTTCAAAACAGAGGAGTACTGTAAGGGCCAAACTCATAATAGTTCAGTTATGTTTGTTTAATTTTGGTGTTCACAGAATCACAGACTGTTCAAAAAACAGACTTTAAATTCAAGTGCCCTATCTCGCTTGTTCCTACTGTAATGGCTGATGAGCAGCAAAATGCTAGCAAAAGCTGGAAAATACACCCGAACCACCTTGAAGTGGAAACACTTACCTAAGCTTCAGTTTCTGTGAGGTTGGGAGCGAGGTTACATTCTTCACATAGTTATAGTAAATTGTGCGAGACCTTTGGCTGGGATTCTGTAGATAACTAACAGTCCTCAAGCAATCAGGAAAAATGTCAAGCCTGGAATGCCTTAAAATCTCAGACTTTCTGGAGCCATTAGGTATGTTAAAAGATGTTTTTGTGTAAATACTTTTGTGTTTAACAGAGTCCTCGGTACTGTACCTGACAGGAAAATTTTATCCTTACTGCTCTTTTGATGAGTACGTGCAAGCACTGACAACGAAGAGCTGCTGTTCAAGTGTTTATGAAGTTTTGCTGATGGTGGTGAAGCCATTGAGATTAGGCAGTTTTTAGAGTAGTGACATGCAACTCAGCTGATAGGCTTTCTAAAGTGCTATCCACTTCAAGCTCTAACAAAATTAATGAAATACTATCAGAGAAATAGTTAACTATTTCCCATTTTCATCCATTATTTCTACTGTTAAAGATTAAAATGAATTGGCATGCTGTTTCTCCCCAAATGTCCTTAAGTCAAAGATATCAGACTAATAGCTCCAGATGTAGATTAACTAAGGGTCATGCTGAATTTATGTGAGAGTGCACAGTTTAGGGCGGAAAAGATCCTAAGTCAAAAAGAGGGGAAGAGAATAAAAAAAGTAACAGATTTCAAATCAATTTTAACCAAACAAGAAACAAAAAAAGCCTCACAGAGCAAAAACCTTACCACACATCCAGAATCCACAGTCAAATGCGTAAAAATTAAACATAATTTCACACCTTCTTTTTCTCAAGAAAAAGGACACACGCCTTTTTCTTAAGACTTAATCAGTTATATTCAGATAAAAACAAAACTTAAAAAAACGGATTGAGATAAGAAATTAACAGGAAATTCAATCAACTACCTTTAGTGCAATTGTCCTTTATATTAGTCTTACCTAAGCAAAGTTTCAAATTCTAAGACTTGATGATTTTCTTACCATTTGGGGTCCAACATTCACATTTATTGGTCCTAAGGTTTTTGGTAAAATCTTGGTTGGTGAGTTGGTGCTGGAAACTGGGTATGCAACAAATGAAATGTTACCTGAAACGGCATCAAAACGCTGGGTTAATGCTCTGCGATATCAAGGCCACCTTCTAACCCTGGGGTCCTGATCCTAGCTTGGTTTCAGTAGTTTATAATTATCTTACAAGTAAATTATAAACAAGAAGCCTTGCTGAAAAGCCACAACAATGACTCCTTTGTTGCAGTGAACACAATTAGTTCAGCTGAATGGGAAGTCTGTAAAATAAAATAGTTTAGTCTATCTGTTAATTAACCACTGGATATGTAGCTGAGGTACATCAGTTTTTTAGAGAAAAAAATATTTAGAGAATACATAATTCGAAGTACAGTTTAAATCAGAGTTGAGAAATCTAGTTAGACCTTTATTAGACATCACAGAACAAAAAATGCATGAAGTAAAATGTGTTAGAATTTCTTTATAGTATAAATACAAAATATTTACACCGAAAGCTAACATTTTTTCAAAATACTGAGTTGGTAGTTTTTTGAGGCTTTATTACAACAGAGAAGAAAATAGGACTCTAACTGGGTTAATAATGTTGGAAATTGTGAGATCTATACAGTGTGTTCAAGTGATTTTGACACTTTAAATTTTAAATTAAGCTATCAGAGCACCCTCCCCCACCAAAAAAAGTCAACCAATAAATAATCTTCGGAACTACCACATTAACTGCTCCAGAAAAACTTCAGTTTGTTGATGTTTCTCTTGGAAGGTAACTGTAATCTGATACAACAAAGGAGATCACCCAGGAAGCATGTGAAGGAGCCACGTTGAAACTCTGGCGGGGAACACAGGGTTTAAGAGCAAGACTACAAAAACACCTCCTTCTCCATCTCCTCCCTCAGACGTCCCCCGTCCTGAGTTCCCAGAGCCTGCCCACACTCTCACCTCCTATTTCTCAGCAGACACCCACATCTCCCTCGGTCAGGGTATCTGACCATCAGGCTAAGTTACAGCTCTTCTGCCTCGACCTGTGAACTTATCGACATGCACCCGCATATTTGTACTTATTTCTGAGTGGAAATTCTCATACAAATGCTTTCCTTCACGTCTGCTCTACATCTCCTGACTCCTCAAGGATCTCAGCCATGGATTCCGTACTCTGTTCCCTGAGTTTTCAAAGACACCATGGCTCCTCCCCTTCAGTTTCCCTCTCTGTCCATTTGTTGTATGTTGTTTCCCCTCAACATCCACATTTTAAAATCGTCTGGGTCTTACCCTCAGGGCTGGTCATACAACTGATGCAGTCAACTTGGGCACCCGACTGTTAAAAAGTTCTCCAAATGCTTCCAGGGTAGAGCCAGGGCTAGGCACCACTGCCCTCACTGGATATCCTACTTCAAATGGCTTTCCTACCCCTTCCGCACATCGATAACAAACCAGTCTTTCAACTGGTGAGACGCTTCTGGCCACTCCCCTTACGCTTAAGGCCTTCAAAGACCCCACGACACTTCCTAAACACCGTTCAGACTCCTGGACATGACACAAGGCTCCTGCCTGGAGATCTCACCCCTGCTCCCTCCCCAGATGCATCTTCAGCTGTGCCCCCACACGCACCCCACAATCCAGTCAAAATGCTGCAGTTCCAGACCATAAAGGCCCCGTTCAACTAGGCTTTGGTGTATGCCGTTCCTTCTGCTGAGACAACTCCTACCTCCTAACTTCAAAATGGGGCTTCACACCATCTTCTGAGTTATTACTACGGGCCAGAGTCTGCTCTAGAGGCTTCCCACATACACATTATCTCACTAAGGCTCAGGACAACAGTGTGAACTATTATCACTGACCTCAATGTCCACGTGAAGAAACTGAGGTGGAGTGAGGCTAAAGACTGGCACTGGTCTCACCGCTGGTGAGGGCCGAGGCTCCAGTTCGGTTGGCTGCCTGTGCTCTGTGGGCTGCCCCCTCCCCGAAAGCTGTGCCCAGCCTCTAAGGTCCAGGTCTCAGGCACCCTTCTTCTGGCTTCTCACAAAGCCTATTATCATTTACCTGCAGTCTTACGATAGGTGGTCCACGTCTCTGGCTTTGCATCCCAGCACCTGGTTTGGTCCCGGGTACATAATTGGTGCATGAAACCATAAAAACTGATTAGCATAGACCTTTTCTAATCTGAATGCCAGACTTCCTGTAATGCAGCTGACATTGTAGCTTTTTTTATTTTTAACAGGTACCATGACTTACACTAAGTGTGAAGTCAATTTAAATACCAGATCCTTATTTTTTGTTTATTATTTTTAAAATATGACTGAACAACCAGTATTATGAAATAAAGTTTCCTGACTCTGTAACTGTGCAACTGATTTTTTAAAATAACCTACCTTATTAACTGTTAAAGAGTACGGTTATTATCAAAACTCCCTAACTATGGTTTATCCACTAGTTTAAGAATCCACCAAACTGGAGAATAACAATCCATGATTCTAGGGGAGAATCGGCTCTGTGACTGACAGACAGAAGCCATGAACTCAGCCCCAGGAAGGAGAATACACCACAGATCCATGTGAGGACGAACATGGCCCTGGAAGTGTGGCTCTCAGACGGATTTTAAAAATGACCTTAATCCTGCCGCATGTTTAAGATGAGATCGTCTCTGATGCACTGTGGTAGAAGCTAAAGCTAAAACCTTGCAAAAAATCATAAAACAAAAAAAGATAATTAAGGTTTGAAAATAGGTTGACTCTAATTTTAAACCTAACAATAAAAAAATTAAGAATATAGAAAATTGGAATATTATTATTAAATATTATTAAAGCCAGTCCTGTCAGGACACTTAATACCAAAAGAATTTAGAGGGAACCTAATAAATTTGTCAAATTGATTCTAAAGTGCATGTGGAAGAGTAAAGGCAGAGAACAGCCGGGGAATGTGGGGGAAAAATAAAAGGAATAAGGGAGAAAAAGGGAACTTCAGCTTACCAGATTTCACAACTACTGCATAGCTACAGTGACTGAGATAATGTGATACTGGCTAAGAAGCAGATAAATAATTCTCATCTTGCACAAAAATACATTCCAGAAAGATAAAATATTTAAGTATGAAAAGTAAAACCTAAAAGTATTAGGAGAAATGAAACCATTTTTAAAAATAATGCAGGGATGAGGAAGGCCCTTCCAAGCATGTTACGGAATTTAGAAACTTAAAAGTGAAAACAGATGGGCAGATTTGACTACCTAAAAACAAGCACTGGTATTTTCTAGACAAAAGACCCAATAATTTAAGAGACAAATCTCAGAGTTGGTAAATAAATCCACAACACACCTAGGTCATTAGATTACTGTCCTTTAAACTTTCATTTATTTAACTTCCCACTTATAAATCAATAACAATAAGACAACACCTCAGTATAAAAATAAGCTGATTACATGAATGTAAAAGTCCAATGATCATATGAAAGAAATGCTTGATTTTTTTAAAAGATCTTTATTTATTTATTTTTAGGGAAGGGAGGGAGAAAGAGGGGGACAGAAACATCAACGTGTGGTTGTCTCTGCTGGTCCCCCATTGGGGACCTGGCCTGCAACCCAGGCATGTGCCCTGACTGGGAACCAAACTGGTGACCCTTTGGTTCACAGGCCAGCACTCAATCCACTGAGTCACACCAGCAGGGAAAAATGCTTGACTTTAATAATAAAAACAATTAACACCTAAAAAAGCACAACTTCTCTCACCTACCAGGTTGATAAATAATAAGTTTGATCATGCCCTGAGTTGGTAAAGATGTGGCAAAATTGGTACATATAAAAAATATTTACTTGTCACCTAGGACGGCACCTATGACATTACATGCATGTCAAATACTAACGCTGAGCATCGCGGACATTCAATGCAGGCGGCACCATCCCCTGCACTCAAGGGGCTCACACACTCGGTAGGCAGAGGGCGTGCGTATTGGAGAGCCTTTCTGTGGGGTGGGCGGTCTAACAGTGCAGTTAGAGGAATGACGGAACTGTGTGTCAGAGTACACAATTTAAAGTAAGTGCTTTAAGAACAATTATACACATTTTAAAGCCTCTTTCTACCTCAACAAGTACCCTTTCAACTGCCCACCATTGCCTACGTAGAAGTTGATCCCTGGCCTCTGTCTGCCACATTACAATGACAAAGGGGCGTACCCTCTGCTGGATATGCATGCTAATCAACTAAGCAGATAGAACAATTACAAATGGCCGAGAATTGCAGCACTGTGGATAAAAGCAAAAACCTGGAAACAATTTAAATGTTTAAACATCTTTTAGTATATGTATATAATGGAATATTATACAGTCCCCCCCCCAAAAAAATACATTATGTACTGCCAGGGAAAAATGTTCTTATTAGAAGAGAATATAGCCCCTGGCAAGTGTGACTCAGTGGACTGAGTGCCGGCCTGTGACCTGAAGGGTCACAGTCAGTTTGATTCCCAGTCAGGGCACATGCCTGGATTGTGGGCCAGATCTCCAGTGGGGGGTGCATGAGATTCAACCAAACAATGTTCCTCTCCCTCTCTTTCCTTCTCTCTAAAACTAAACAAATAAAATCTTAAAAAAAAAAAAGAATTAGTATGATTCCATTTATCTTAAAAACTATGTATACTCATAAGTTTACACATGTGTAAAAAGTCTGGCAAGATAAACAGCAAATAATTTAATAGAGGTTAGCTCTGGTGAGTGTGGTGGAGGGATGTTTTACTTTGTTTTAATACTTTTTTATTATTGAAAAAAAAACCATTATGTAAACGTGCATGCACTTGTTTTCTCATTTAAAAAGCTATTGCCATTCTAAAGAAAAAAAGAGAAGGAAGTGAGACAATTGGCTACAGTTGCTGAAACAAGATGAAGGTCTATAAATGAGGTATCTGTATTTTTTTAATCAGTAAAAAGAAAATCTGTTTTAGAAGCAATTAAAGGGACTCCACTGGGGTTTCAATAATTGTAATATTCAGAAATAAAAGCCACATATGTCTTTAGACAGTTTATTTTCATTGAATAAACTAAGTTCAGCAGCAGAAATACAAGGTTTTGACTCAAAAGGACATATT